CTCGCGGTGCGGCTACGGTCGCGAAGTATGAACGCTGGTTTGGTTACGACACAAGACGTCAAATGCGAGGCAACCAAGTCGTGGACGCGCCTCATGTAAACGGTAATTTTCGTACTCCTCACCTGCTCCTGCGTAAAAGCTTCTGTAGCAAAATGAAGTAGACCTTAGCACGCGTACTTGACTACACTTACTTTTTATTGGCTGCTTCCGGACATCGCAGCCAAAGTACGTCATTGCCGATATTCCCTCATGAACGCGATCCCAGCAAAGTCAAAGGATCACCTTTGGCTTGCTCTGCTCTACAGTTGGCCCATTATGTCTCCTGGGCCTTTTCTTGATAGGGCTGGACGACGATTTTTTTTAATATTGGATCGAACTCCTGGTGTGGATAACATTCGATCATAATGACGTGATCACTACCTGTAGTGGATATTAAAAATGAGAAGATTCAGAGAAAAACCCACAGTTGTTTCTTCTAGTTCTCCAGTCTTGACACTTACTTCGCACATGATTGACTGTTGTTGCTGCGTCCAATCATGGAATATTTTTCATTTGAAACAGCAATTCTTCTACGCGTCGTGCGCTGCCCCTTTGTTCACATCTCGTAGACCTTTTTTTCTATGGTCTTTGACCAAGATGTAAACTGTGCATATTAGCTAACCTTTAGCGTGCTTTCACGATTTTTTGGCCGCTCCCGATTTCAAGACTCTCTTTATAGAATCTGACACCAAGTCGTCTTTTCTGTCAGTTCTTTTTTTAACAAGGGGTTAGGACTTCAGTCAAGCACTCAGTCACAATCTGCAAAAAGTATAAAAACTTAAAATGACTTGCAAAACGGGTTTGTTAGCTTATGCTTCAGAAAAGAGCAAGGCCCATCTCATGCATAGAGGGTCCGAGCCCTACTCTCCCCGTGGAACCGTACTTACTTACCAGCTGATCATTCGCTGCACGATATAAGTGGTTCTTTAAGGCTCAACGTGAGCATTGAAGATTCACATTCGTTTATAGAGCATACAAGAAAGAGGCTAACAATTTTGTTCTCATAATCGTTTGGCTAATTTTAAATTCATGGTCGGAGCCAAGATCTGAAGAGGTATACAGGAGTGTCTCCATCTTGATAAGCTACAAGTATCCTTTCCTTGCCAGACCACTCTTGCAGTATAGCATTGTGTAGGTGTTAAACCATTTAGTGGGAACTTGTCCAGGGCAAACGTGTCGGCGCGCAAAAATCAACCACGTTTTTCTCCCAAGATTGACACCATGTGCGGCTCTCCATAAACCTCAGCATTATGTTGATTGGCAGGCGGTCTCGAGGTCTGCGAGCCTCCAAGCGGCACATAAGCCCGCGACACTAGCCCATTTGCCTTCCTGCCATTCCATTATGTCTCCAAGTGTTCGAATGAGAAGAGCTGATCGTAAAATTTCGAGATAATACCCTCGACTAGAACCCGAAGAGGCCCTACTGCCAGAGTGGTGGTCTTGAAAATCTTTTTTTCGGTACGGTATTTTTTGGCCACAAGTGATCTGACTCTTCTAGAGATTAGAAGGTGATCTGCATTAATCCCGAACGTCAGTAGGGTAATAGACGTTTGTTCGGGAAGTTACTCCTTCATACCTTCCAAGCTGAAGAAGGCGATACCGCCGACCATCAAATCTGATTTATCAACCGCGTGTGAGGTCGAAGCGAACTACCTTCCAATCACTTCTTCAATCCTAGTATAGTGAGTCTACCAGCGGGCTCCTGCAGTGTGTCCCTCCAGTGCAGTGGTGCCTGCAGTGTGTGATTTACGTCGAACAATGCCAATACAGAGTTCAATCGATACACCTCAGCTGTGTTTGAATGAGCACGCAAAAGTGAGCAACAAACACATTTGGCTAATTAGCTTTCTCAAGGATAGATACCATTTTCAAACCTAATCTGAGGATTTTCAAAATAAACCGGACACTTTTCGAACACAGGCTTTTTGAATCGGACACACCCCTTACACTGGGCACTTGACAACTAGACCACACTGGACACTGTCGTAAGCCCCGCTCCGACTTTTCTGCCCACTTCTCAACGCGGTCGAAAAAACGTATCACTTGTATCACCTGCATCTCCTGTGCTCCCGCTGATAATCGAAATCCTCGAGCGCCAGTAACGTCTCCATTCCTCCCTGCAACGTGCTGGAACTGTCCAATGGGTCCTCTCTGCTCGAGGGACACGATGAACTTTATACCATTCGTTCAGAGTTTTCACGACGAAGTATGACCATCGCCTAGGCGGCCGTACATGTGTTCGCTTGACATCCCGCGGAATCCAGTCGGTAATCACTCTGGTACAATGGTCATCTTCAAAACGCATGACGTGCCCGGCCCACCTGATCTTCAGAGCCTTGGCTAACGCGGCTCGTCTCTGATATTAGGTGTTGGCGGCGTCTCTGATATTAGGTCGTTGGCGGAGCGCAGAGCTCCGAATTCCCTCACTCACTTGTGTGTAGCGGGAAACTCCGAGCATCGCCCTTCCGATAGCGCTGTGAATGACGCTAACCGCATTTCGTGAGTCCAAGTCTCCGAGACGTAATTTAAAGCAGGAAGGACCGCGTGATCGAAGAGATGTTCTTCGCCTTCTTCCTCTCTCAATGCTCTTGAAAGCTGCCCAAGCCGTTCGCTTCCTCCTGATAAGCTCTGGTATCAAGTCGTTCATTATATTTCTTTCCCAGGACAGCGATGTTCATTTCATTGAGCATGAGTGGGACATCAGAAACCAATCCGTTCCTCATGAGCATGGTCTTCGCTAGATTCGGGAGCAAACCGACATTTCCACACGCGCAGTCGATATAAGCAAAGCGGAGATGATTTAGTTGCCCGCCATCAATCTTCACTCCCATATCAGTTGACGCATGTCGTTTGTGGGGCGTTGGAGAGCTCAGGCGAGATAGTGCCGCCTTGTCGGACCATTCTCCCCACGTCGGTAATGATCTTCTTGTGGGATGATGAGATCCTCGTTTCAAAGTTACCGCTGAGCTCAGGAATTATTGTGATACTGAGCAGAAACACCCTGGTTGCCCAGGGCTCCGATAACCGCTTCCGCTTCTCTCTCAACAGAGCCGAAGGCTGTCTTCGATCTTCTATCTTCGTCTTCTTGAACGTGAGACATAACGACATCTTGTACTCTCGCGATACTTCGGTGGACTTTCTTACCGTGCGGATGTGATCGATACTGCTGAATTCTCTCCGAAACCTTTCTTGCTCGCATGGCTGTCCGTCGTATGGTGATCTACCGATCCTGTCTACCACGGCTCCTGTGTGTAGTTTGCAGACTACACAGCAGGCAGATTGGACAATAATTGCCAATGTCGTGCAGGCTTCCCTTATTGTACAGCAACACAGTCCTGCTGGTTTTCTACAAGGTGGGTACCTTGCATCTCGACAGGTAGCGCGTGAAGAGTGAAGCCATTGTTTTGACGAGAACTGGCGGAAGATTCTTCAGATGTTCGGGTCTGATACTGTCGGGACCGAGTGCCAGACGATTCTTCACAGACTATGGAAGGGAGAACTAAGGTATCCATCCTGCTCCAAGCGGTACTTTATTGCTTCTCTGCATAATTTCGCAATCTCAGCGTAAGCTGGTTACCTGTGGCCAATCCAACGTTTGCGATCAAGAAGATGTAGTTCAACCCTCGCTCCGACAATCTTCGTCGCCTACGCACCAACATTAAGCTACGACGAGGATGAGGTCGAAGCATTTCGCAAACAAATAAAATAAATAAAAAGATAAATAAATAAATAAGTGGATAATGGCAATTGTACTGCATATTCTGGAGAAGTTATTCACTATGGCTGTACTTATTGGTTGCCGTCAAAGACGATAACTTCGCTCCACTTCGTTTCCTACTCGAAGACAGCCTTCGCGTTCAAAGAATTCATATGCGTCCTTCTTGCACAGGCAGTTTGGCCCTCAGTCTCTGAGAATGTACCTCTTCCAGGACCTCTTTTTGGCAGCTCTGACGCTTCCCTAGCTGTCCCGCCAGCGGTAACTCGAAGGCTCTTTTCTGTCATGAATGCAGACTGACAATGTGCTCATGGTTTTTTTACTGTTCGATAATGTTAGCATTGGTTGGCGCGAAGAAACCATTGAGCCAGAGGCGTCAGGATATATCGCTACGCTGATATAGAGAATTCTCTATTGATCTGCATAAATCGTTGATTGATGGTCAAAACGATGATCTCTACGAAGCCACCGATCGCGCGGGAAAGACGCCTATAAATTAAAACCTCCAGTGGCATTCGTTGTTTGCTTACCTGTTCTTTATTGATCTCACATGCATCGCTTCTTAATAAAGGTTTAATTACTCAGATTTGAGTCCCACCACCGAACCACTGTATTGTGCATGGCCTACGATACGGACTCGAGGACAATTGAAGATACGAATCAAGGACAACTGAAGATAAGGACCCGAGGACAATCGAGGATATCAGCTTGAGGACAATCGAGCATATCAGTTCAAAAACGACCAAGGATATCGCTCAGGGACCATCGTACCGATTCGCAGAAAAGAAGTGAGCGTTAAAGCTGCCTTACTGGTACATTGGAACGTTTGTCGATAATCAGTTGAAGTATCTCTCATCCAGTGACTTCTACACTGGAAACTAGGCAAGGCGCTAACGGCAGGCTGTCCGCGATGCTGGAGGAGGGTGCCGCGTTGCTAGACATGCAGTTGGACTCACACCAACAGAGGAAAGTTAAGGAGCTTCAGAATCGAATTCGGACGACCAAGGCGACGCTGTCAGTGGAAGCTGACAAGGTCGAGGAGGCATTGATCAAGTACAGCAGTGCCATAGACGACATGCCATCAAAAGGAAAAAATGCGAAACGCACACAGGACGCTACACTATCAGAAGTTGCGGAGATGAAACTATCACCAAACCCGCTCCCGAAGTTCGGTGGAGCCATATGAGAGTGGGACACATTTTGGCGATTTTTCGAAAGTAACATTCATTCAAGGAACGCCGACGATATGTACAGGTTCAACTACCTACTTGAAGCGCTCGGAGGCGAAGCAAAGGAGGCCGCAAAGCAGTTTCAAGTTCCCGGTGCGACATATCCTCTCGTCGTCGCCCACCTGCAAGAAAAGTACGGCAATGTACAATCACTCGTGGACCGACTTCTGAGCAGACTCCAGAAGACGCGGACCAGGAGCGATTGCTTAGATGACCAGCTACAACTTTTCTCAATCACCTCACAGCTGGAGCTGAAAGGAGAGCACATCAGCAACACATTCCTGCAGAAGAACTGCTCAGCAAGTTTTCCACACAGGTTCAACGGCACGTTCTTCGTCAGAAAAACAGAAAGAAATCGTGGAACATCAGAATTCTAATAGTAGAAGTAAAAGAAATTGTTATCAATGAGCTCGAAAGGAGATCAACCCAACAACGATGTTCCAGTACTACCATGCTTTTACTGCTACAAAAGAGGACACTCTGCGAAAGGTTGCACAAAAGTAGCCACACGCAACCAACGTCTTCAGCTCATGAATTCAAGAAAATTTGCCAAAACTGTGGAGCAAAGGATCACATTGCAGTAAAGTGTCCAAGAGGACCCTGCCGATTATGCGGCGTAACAGGATACCATACTTCTATCTGCATGCAACTGTTTGTGAGGAGACACCAAGGACACCTCATCAGGGCAAAACCATGAAGAAAATGCAGGCCAAAACTTCACATCAGTCGCAGCCAACGGCAAATAAGATCAACATAGTTCAATCCAATCAAGGAATGGCAGAGAGTGAAGAAAGTGATACGGTGCTTCACGTCAGTGATCAGAATGAGAGGACCGATTACACCTACAAGACGTCGACACAAGGCGACTTACAATTAATACCTCTGGATCACAAAAGTCAGTGGTGAAAACATGCGGCGTCACAGTAATACAGATGTGGGACGCGAAAGGAGCACCTCACCCATTTACAGTCACAGGGATAGACAAAGTCACAGAATCTATGCAACGCAGCAGCCTCAGCCTAGAGGACAAGCATTTCCTCTGCGATAATGATTTACAGCTATCTATCAGGCCAGCCTCAATCAGCATTCGACCTCAAATTCTCCTAGGCTGCGCAGATCTCTTCTCACTTCTAAGCAGTGGTGTAGCACCAGAATATATACTTCCTTCTGGACTGCGTCCAATCCCGTCGAAGCTTGGATACTCGCTTGCAGGACGCACTACCAGATGCTCAGAAACAAAGAAGGAACAAGAGACGATGAAATCAACAAGTACATTAACAGATGCTGAAGACTCACAGTCGTGGGAGGACTTCTGCGCGTTCGAGTCAAGAGGAGTTCGTTGGATCAAAAGCCGAAGAGCGCAAGCGCACAGATGAGGCTGTCTGAAAAAGGTTCGAAAAGACAATTGAAGAGAAGAAGATGGCTACTGGGTGCGGCTCCCATGAAGAAAAGGCGCCGCACAAATACCATACATCAAGGGACTAGCCGTAGGTTGCTTACAACGCTAGTAACTAAGATGACTGTTAAACGCGAAGTACTCCGCAAATACTAAGAGAGCTACGGGATCAGCTCATTGAAGGGATCATAGAGGAGGTGGACGAAGAAAAATCGTATACTACCTGAGCTGCATCACTCCACACAAAAATACATCCAAGCTCAGGACCGTATTTGACGCTTCCGCACATCTAAAAGACGTCCCATTACTGAATGAGGTACTCCACGGAGGACCAGATTTGCTCCCCAAACTCTGCGACATCCTTCTTCGTTCCCGAGTAGGCAATGTCGCCATAGCCAGTGACGTTGAGAAAGCTTTCATTCAAGTGCGACTCCATACGCAGGGCAGGGATGCGACCCGACTTTTGTGGTCGAGAGATACCAGCCAGCCAGTGAGTCTGAGCACCACCATCACCTATCGCTTCAGTCGCGTGACATTCGGGCTTATATGCTCCCCGTTTCTGCTAGCGGGAACGATCAAATATCACCCACAGCACAATGCGAGGAATAAAGAACTTGCTTGAGAAATCGACTACAACGCATATGTGGACAATGTTGTGATAACAACCGGATCAACAGCGGAAGCTACTAACCTCTATAGGGTGTCCAAGGGACATTTCGTTGAAACGAAAATGAATCTCAGGGAATTCATTTCCAGCGATATCAACGTCAAGCAACAGATCAAGCCAAAGGATTTGAGCAACAATTCTAGCCAGGAAATCCTAGGCATACACTGGTGTTCAGCAGAGGAACGTTAAGCCTGACATGTATGTACCCACCAAGGAGCAAGATCACGAAAAGAATCGCCTCAGAACAAGTGGCTTCAATGTACGATCCGCTGGGCTGGTTGACACCGATAACGCTTCGTGGAAAACGCTTCTTACAAAGGGTCTGGAAATGCGAGCACGAATGGGACAATCCTCAGACGCAAGAGCATCAGGAACGCAAGAGATTATTCGTGCGGTCAACGAATTCCATCATCAAATACATAGAACAGTTAGTCAGATCAACGAATGAGTGAAATTAGTTGTGCTCGCGGATGCCGGCAGCAATGGAATGGCAGCACTCGCTTACATCGCGTTTCTCTTCGAGTCTCACCTCGTCGCTGAGAAGTCGAAATTGCCCTCTATAAAGGGCAGGCCGACGATACCGAAATTGGAACTGAATGCATTAAACAGGGCCGTGCTACTAGCGCACTCAGTAGGTGAAGCAATACGAAAAAGACTAATAGTGCACAACGTGATAATCCTCTCTGACTCTGAAGTGGCTCTCAGCTGGATCAGTTTGAATCCAATGGACCATTCTGTTGGAATTCTAGTGAGAAATCGTCGCGAGATTAACAAACTCGTTGATGCCATCCAACAACGGTTCGATTCGGTTAAGTGAATATCGCAGCAAATCCAGCCTATTGCGCAGCGAGAGGGCTGACAAACGAAGAATTCAAAGACCACTTGTGATGGAAAGGACCATCTTACATCACACAGCCATATGAAGGTTGGCCCAAAGATAGCAAGTTGTTTCAACTATCGAAGAACCGTCAGAACGAAGATGTTCGTGCTATCTACAGAAACAACTAAAGAAATCTCCGAGTTACTGGATTGGAAACGACACAGCAACCTCCCACGATGTCAGAGAGTGGTAGCCTACATTCATCGATTCACAAAGCAACTACTCAACCGAGTGAACGCTAGTCTTCGAGAAAAGATCGAGGCTAAAGTACGCGCATTACGCTCGCTAATAGCGCTACCGTATAATATAACAGCTCCTGAAAGACAGATGGCCCTACAGATACTCCTGCGCAGTCATCAGAAAGTACATCTTCCGCCAGAGAGACAAATAGCTCTCAGACAGCAAAATTTGAAGGAAGATGAGCAAGGAGCCTTACGCTGTCAAGGACGGTTTGGAAACTCCAGTCTCTCGTTTGACATGAAGTACCCTATGCCATCGCTAGCAAAACCAACTTCGCCCGTCTCATCGTATGCGCATTTGCCGCTTCACTGTGACACAGCACATACCATGGCAAAAGCCAGAGAGAAATTTTGGATGATGAAACTCCGACAGCTTGTCCGATCAATTATCAGCAGATGCGTGAACTGCCAGAAGATGAATAGTCTTCCTTACAGATATCCGGCAATGGAGGATTTACCTACCCAAAGAGTACAAAAGACACAACCCTCTGAACCGGATTGCGTGAATCACACAAGCTTCAAATTCACAACAAGCGCAGTACAACCAAAATTCCAAATGTAGTACGTGTTGTGTTGATAGCCGACGCAGTTCTGCCTTGGTTTTCCTGGAAAAAGGAAGAATCACCAAGGTGAACCAGACGGAGAAAGGAATTGTAAGAGAAGTTGAACATACTGATTCCGCTAGAGATAGAGGACCCATCAACATCACCAATGAAATGGCTACGATCCCAGTCACAACATGCAATAAGGAGGGCGTAGAAAAAGAACATATGGAGTCTCGCCACAACCTGCCACAAAGGGAGAGAAAACGAATTCGTCATCAAACGTCATTTTCACGAGGTATCGCAGCTACAATCATGTTCTTAATCACGTTAGCCTTCCAGCCCAGAGGAGCAATATCACTGTCGCAGAAATTGTTTCAGCATGCAACAACTAGTACAGCGATGAGCCACATTCCAGGAGAAATTTGACAAGAACTACGCAAAGTCAACGAAAGTTTGAGCAAGAATGATGTTCCCCTAGTTTCTCCGGAGATGAAATCTCATCCAAATTATGATGTAGGATGGTTGCTCGAACACAGTAAAAAAAGAACTTATTTCACAAAATAAACAACAACAATGATCAAAAAAGGCTACAATGGAGTTCAGATCTTGCGAGTGAGGGCTCGCCCCTTTTGAAGGCGCAATCCCGCGCGATCAATCATCCTCTATAAATGCGCGCGAGCATTCGTGCTCTACGAATTCGCGATCAAATCGGGCTAGTGCTCATCCTGTGTACACCCCCGGGGTTAGTGAGAGTGGTCCCTCGTTATTTTCAATTTCAGCTTCTTTGGTGCATATTTTAGTACAACAAAAAAAACGATTAGTTTCTTTTAGAACCCACATTTACTTATGATGAGGCGCTAGTCTCTTTCCCCGATAACAATGCTTCTGCGGATTCGATTTCCGAGGAGGGTATACCGTATCGTCGTCATCGGGCAAGCGCTTCCTCTGTGGCTGCGCCTCTTCCTCTTTTTGCAGTTTCTCGGTAAGAGCTGGCCATCGTGGCACCCAGAACTTCCTTATGCTATCATACCATCCCCTAGTATCATAAAATCCGATGACGCCATTCTAGTCGGATGGGGCGGTTCCCAAGGAGCGATGTGGGTGATCCCCGTCTCCTGGTTGTGCGTTTGGCAGTAGTGTCACATTATTGACAACTCTTCTCAGGTTGTCTACGGCGACTCTCATAGACTCGTATGCGCGTGTCCATTTTCTCTCATGTTCATGCGTCTGGTGCTCCACAGGAGCTATGCCAATGGCGACTTGTATGTCATCTGTTGCCATGTTTTCCAACCATGGCACTAATTCGTTGGTCCCGTCGTTGGCGTTAGTTTCTTCGGCACCAACTATCAGAAGGACATCGGAACTAATAGCCATCTTTGGCAAATCCTTGATGTCGCACGCGATACCTGTGATAGTATTTTACAGCATTGTGTGGACCTTCGACAGGCATCGTGGTGTTAGAAGGTATTGCTGCCTTCTCTTCTTTTTGTATGGCTCCTTCCATTCTTTTCCTGCTATCAGCTTCAGAGCAGCTTGCACCATTCCACTAACTCGAAAAGTGCCTTCATCACGCTGGATCGCTTCGTGATAAACATCTTCGGGGCTCAGGGTTTCCAAGGTGAACTGAATGTGCAGACATTCTTTCTTAAAGTATAGCAGTGCTAATGCAAGGGCTTCCCCCGAAATTTGTGTTCTTGCATCGTGTTTTGCCAACATGATGAGTTTATGGTCGTCTGACCAGTCTTCCCTCATCCAGATGGTGATGTGTTCCGCAAGTCATGCCGTGCTGTTGAAGGTAATGTCTCTCATCGTTTCAGGCAGGTCGTGCAGCAAATTTGACAGCTTCCTTGCCTCTTCTTGGACGAGCGGGCACTTGAACCCGATACGGTATCCCTTATAGTTTCCGGGTAGCTTGACAAGCTGATTCTCATTGCAGATGAGTCAGACGAAGATGATGACGGTTCTCTTCCGTGAGAACAAGCTGCTTTAGTCCGGATCTAAGAGAAACTTTTTCATTTAGTTGGACACCTTTTACAGCAATGTTTGTTCTACGTCTTTTTGACACCGTTACTACTAGTGTATCATCTATATAATGTGGTATTACTCGCCAAATCAAACTGCACTTGCAATGGCTCTTCATTTGCGTTGATTTTTGTAATGACGGCTGAAATCGAGCTGACTTCTACAACTCTATAGGGACCTGTCCAATCTGTCGTGTTCGGGTGTTTCATTTTCCCTTTTTCCGTAGGCATGCGCGTTAGCACTCTATCTCCTACTTTTGGCGCTCGGATAGGATCTACCCCTTTGTACTATCGTAGTACTTTTTCATCCTACTGCGGTAAGCTTCGTTGTTTTCCCTGACGATTTCTTGGATTACCTTTATTCCGCTCATTAGTGAAGCTTTGTAATCGTCTATGTCTATCCTGTATGGTGATAGTTCATCCGATGGTATTACATTGGAGGGAAATACTGGGTCAAACCCGTGTAAGATGACAAAAGGGCTTTCGTTCGTCGCCTCATGAGGTGAAATATTGTAGGCGTATACTACGGTGGTACGGCTTCGTCCCACTCTGACACTATATTCGGAGGATTGTCTTATTTGCCCTTTCTGTCACTCCGTTTTCTCTTGGGTTATACCCTTTGGTAAATGTTTGCTTTATGCCTGTTATCCTACAAAGGGCATCCTTAACGCTATTTTCAAACTCCTTCCCTCTATCGGAGTTTCTCACAGTCCGCCGGTTTTGATCGCAAAAGTTGTGAATGCAACATCTCTATCTTTTCTTCCTGCTTGATTACGTGATGGACCACTTGTTTAGCATCGCAGCCGTAGAGATCACAAAGTAGCGCGACTACTTCTTTGCTCTCGCAGCCTAATGCTTGCTTATTTTTTAGCGCCAGAGCTCTAACAATGTCTAGTTGACACTCCGCTAATTGGACTTGCTCATATATTGCGCTATATACTCTTTCTCGCACTTCGCTATTTGTTCTGAATGCAGTGCCCATCGCGTCATCTGTGACAGTTCTTACTTTCCGCAACTCAGACCTTACCCTTTCTAGAGTTCTCTCAAATGTGCTTACCATTGGGCTCAGCAAAGTGGCCTCTTCAGCGACATTTGAGTCGACGTTCTCCGTCCGGTCCGCGCTATTCTATATATCTTCGTCATCCGACTACTAGCTTGCTTTTTCTCTGCAAACAATTGCTTACTAGTCTTGTATATAGATGCTCCTGTGCAAATGTATAGTTTTCCGGAACGACGTTAGTTTAGTGATCAACGGTCTAGCTAGTGACCGCGGCTGGTGTCCGCTTCTAGCAGTGATTTGCGCGGCGTGACCACTTCTGGATCGCTGATCACCCTGATTATTGACCACTTCTGGGTCTTTGACTGCTCAGCTGCTGACCACTTCTGGGTCGATAACTGACTAGTTCTTTTTTCACTGAGTTCAAGCCGGCTTGGCCCCCATGTAAGATGGTTACTCGAACACAGTAAAAAAAGAATTTATTTCACAAAAAACAACAATAGTCAAAAAAGGCTACAATGGAGAACAGATCTTGCGAGTGAGGGCTCGTCCCCTTTCAAAGGCGCAATCCCGCGCGATCAATCATCCTCTATGAATGCGCGCGAATATTCGTGCTCTACGAATTCGCGATCAAATCGGGCTAGCGCTCATCTTGTGTTACAATGAGTAATGGAAGCTCTCCAACAAAGATTGGTTTGCAAAACTCGATACTGCCCTCTATAACAACAGCCGGTGCTGGGTCGACGCTGCAAACATTACCGTTTTGTTAGCTCGTTACGTACAAAAGTACCGAAGCAGTTAAACTTCAGCGTAAGAAGGCAATAAACAAAGATACTTTTCTGAAAGGATGTACCAATTTTCAAGAAGGAAAAGAAAGGAAACACTCAAAAAATATAGTCTATTTAGATGCTTCACTACCACCTGACCTATTAGCTAATCTAATTTCGTTCCGCATGAAGAAACCTACATCAATCGCCACCATGGAGAAGAACGTTGGAGTTCCAGCACCCCTTCCCAAGACCAAGGCAATGGTCATGAAGACCACTCGTCCGGATAAGCTGGAGCCTCTAACGAAGCCAGCGGCTAGCTCAGAATCTGTCACAATATCATCGGAAAGATCGCGCAAGCGATCTGCCTCCTCATCGTTGTGGTCTGAGGATCTCCTTCAAGAAGAACCGTGCATCTGGGACCATGATGAAGGAACTACTCCAACAAGGAAGCAGAATCCTCTCACACGCGGCAAGCAAAGTAGATCAACTGGCCCCAGCAGTCTCGGCACCATCATCTCCCGAAGCAATGGAGCAACTGCACGAACAAGAGCAGATTATAGAAGCATTCCATGAACAGAACGTGAAAATGCATCACGCGAATGAAGCAAAGATAGAAAAACTCGATTTGAAAAAGAATAACCTAATAGCTCGTATACTCAGATGGACAAGGACTTCCAAAACGCAATCAAGCAGTCGTAATTTCCTTTGATTCAGCCGCTGAAAGTTCGAAGTGGCAAGTGGGGATGAAACGGGAACATGATGATGGGTGGCAGGAAGTTATGACAGCTGACATGGGGTCATAAAAAAGAAGGTTCACCAAGTTCATATCCTGCGTTGCAGCGGTGGAGCGTTGATATCAAGAAGTGATATGAGGCCTGGACATAAACTTCATTGGTGGGTAGCGGGAAGTGATAGTAGCTGACAAGAGATGATAAGGGGCATTAGTGAGGGCCACCAATTTCATAACGTGGGTTTCAACATCGATGGGACGTTAGTTCTAAAATATGATGTAGGGTATGGATTATGAATATCATTTATGGGTGGCAGAACGCGTTAAGAATTGTTAAGAAATGATAAGGGGATAAACTCAAGCGTAGCCCGTCAGACTGTCGGTAGGAAGTTGCTTCCAATAAGTGATACAGTGGATGTGATGGGTTATTACTGATAGGTCACAGAGAGGGGTAACAACCGACAGGGACTGATAAGAGTTACTTCTAGGTTTACTGTATTTCAGGCTAAAGTACAGAGACCGCATAGAGCCGTTCAGATCTGAGCTAGAGAGGATCTGAAGGCAACTGGTCGAAACAGAACGGGAGCTTCAGACGATCCCGAATGAAACACATGAAGTCATCGCTTTGATTGAGAAGGAACGGCAAAAGGATCGAAGCACTGCAGCTCTCAACGACTTGAAGGTGAAACGGCGCCCCCTCCAGTCAAAGGATCCGAGATTGGAACAGAGAATGGAAGACCTCGAACGACATGAAAGGGAAAAGACCGGAAGCTTTACTCGCTCGAGGATACGTGGTAACATGCAGCAGAAACGAAAGGATGAAGACATCAACATAGAAAAGGAATGTGACCACGACAGGAGATACGATAGGAGAAGACGAGATGGACGCGAATCTAGACATCGACGGAATTCTTCACACGATCACGATAACAATTACTCCAACAAACAGTGGCGGAGAGTATAGAGAATTCTCTATTAATTTGCATGAATCGTTGATTGGGGGTCAAAACGATGATCTCCACGAAGCCACCAATCACGCGGGAAAGACGCTCAAATGGAAACCTCCAGTGGCATCCGTTGTTTGCTTACCTTTTCTTTATTGTTCTTACATGCATCGCTTCCTAATAAAGGTTTGATTACCCAAGCTTGAGGTCCGCCTAACCACTATATGGCTGGCATAAAACGAGCAGTTTCGGATAACGCGTGCAATGAGGCTGCCAGAGGGTCACTGTTCTCTCCACAATTTTTTTTTGCTTTTTCCTTCACTGTAGAGTCGCGTTCTGACAGGCTTGTTCTTAAACGCCACTACCCATGACGTGCGACGCGAGGTTTGTCTCAATTGATCGTTCTGCGTTCCAGTCATATCAAATTGTCAACAAAAAAAACTCCGTTCTGTGTGACAGGGATGTGAGCCATCATATTGGACCGAGCATCGGAGCGACTTGTTGTTTAGATGTTTAGATGGATCACCCTTGCCTGGTGATGTCGAATCGAACCTGCTACAAGGAATGGTGAGCACCTGGATCCAAATGGCACCCGTGGGTACCAATAGTCGGTAAAATTCGATCCTGTCGGGAATTTTGTTGCTCCTCACCCCCAGTTACAGCATATTGCGCTCCAGTCGTCAACGTGTAGATGGACGCACAACAATACGTCTTCCATATCATATGACTATGATGGTGTTTGGACGACTGTACCCGAAAGAGTGCGGTTGTCGACTCGGACGTTTCGGAAAGTCCCACTGCTTGCTTTGTGAATTTTTTTGATGATACTGCAAGACGTCAGGCGGACATTCGAGTCTTACCAGGACTGAGCAGTTCCCCTTATTCATGTGCCCGTTATTTGATCATAGTGCTGCCACACCTGTCCGAGGTTGAGTGATCTGATACCAATTTTAACGAAGGGCTTGAACAACAACACATCCCATTTTGTCTTGTCCACCTTCCCCTGTTCCTTGCCTTTACTCCAAAGAAGTCGTGCACACTTACACCTTGTGAAGAATCGTCCCCAGTTTCAAATCTCCTCTTGTACGGGTGACCTACTTCTTGTCCATGTGGTTGGCTCGAGGAAGAAACAAGTTGCGAGCCAACTTAGGTAGGGCCGAGCTTGAGAGGGAACCTCGCTCCAAATGTTGAGACGACGAGGGAAAAGGATTGTCGCCACAGACGACGCTAAATGTTTCCTCTCCTCTTCCCTAATTAGTGTTCCAGCTCGAGAAGGTGTATTCACATGTAGGGTGGTTCCAGTTGCGTTTGTATCCTTTTTTTCCTACTTCTCCTTATTCTATACATGGGATTCCTTTCGCATCGCCCTTTTGAGCCATTGTCACTCGTACCTCGCGGCTTCGTTTACTATGATAGGGTTTTGTTGAGTTCTTGGTGCCGAAGATAACCATTCACGGAAGGAAAACAAGGTCGTTCTTTACAAGTTGCTCCGTCTTCAATCTATTAGGATTTCGCGTCCCTGTTGCTTGCAAGGGAGGTCTTTCAGGTCGTGGTGCGCTTTTTGGAAATGGTTTGTTGCTTGTTGTAGGAGTCCATACAAGGATCACAAAAATGGGTTTCATTTTTGCAATGCATTTCTGGGTAGGTCAAACTGAGTGAAAAGAATTTGACAAGAATGGTCCGTTTTAACAAGCTTAATGGGCTCCTTTCTGCTTGTATCGAGCATGCATAGTTTGTGAGGTGGTCACTAATTAGGCCTCAAAATAGATTCGATTAAAGTCAAAATGTAAGTATCATGTAGTAACACACTTGGCATGCACTGACGCAAGAGTGATTTTCGTCAGTACTCCCTTCACGACCACTGCCGACGGATCGAATGGCGCAGTGGATAAGAGACGGGTTCTGAATGGCAAGGGGGAGGCTTGGATCGGATCCCCTTCGTGGAAGTCTTTTTGCATTTTCCAGCTTTCCATTCGTTCGCGTGCCTATGTGTCTGGCAGTGGAAATAAGTCAAGTATATGCCATTTAAAGGCATATATTTGTGGCCACATTGTGGCCTGAAAGTGTGCTTGTGATGCCCCGTAGCTCATGTCAGAAGGGTTTCGCAATGAAATACCATCACATTTATGTTCAGCGGTTTGGGTTACCCCTAGGGACTAATTTCTAGCCAAATCTGACGTTTCGACCTAACTTGGAAAATGTGGGCAATTCTATGGGCAATTAGCAGCAGGCTGGAGTCCACCCACCAAGGATGACCGGTCTTGGGATAGAATTTCCTACCCGTAATCAGAAAAATGATGCAGGCGGCACGAACAAGTGAGCCAGGTATTGTTCTTTGCGAAAAGACATGACTGAAGGGTTATTTCAGTGCAAGGACCAGTCATCACTATGCCAGTGGGAGTATTGGTTATCATCCAGGCGTGACCATCTCTACCCCATTTTTTCGAAGTTGAGTCAGAACCTTGGATTTCCTCAAGATGGCGTTTCTAGGGGTGGTTTGACCCCCTGAACACGAATGAATATCTGTTTCGCACGGAGAGAGCTGTGAGTCGCGCTACAGGTGCAAATTTACTGCACAGCCCACCCGGAAGAAGAAAACAGTGAAGGAATACCTCCATAACTCCACTGAGAGAATCACTCCGCAGATTTTGAAGGTAGTTTTGAGTTCACCGTGTCAAGACGAGTACAATGATATGCACTCACTGCAAATGGCCAAGTTGTCCTGTTGGCCTTTGCTGGATGACACCTTACAAACCAACACACTGGCGTGAGAACCTTGCTTCCGGGAATGTTCTCGTCTCGTTGCGTTGATACAGATGCAATACTATTGCCGCGATGAGGATCCGAACCGAGTCCATTGTCATGCCATCCAGAATCCACCATGCTATCCGCTAGGCCATCCGATCCTCAAGCAATGGCTATTAGGGAGCGCTGACAAAACATCACTCTTGGTCGATGCATGCCAAGTGTGTTTACACATGATACTTACATTTTGACTTTAATCGAATCTATTTTGAGGCCTAATTAGTGTCCACCTCATAAACTATGCATGCTCGAAGTTACAAGCACAAAGGAGCCCATTAAGGTTGTTAAACCGCCCATTCTTGTCAAATTCTTTTCACTCAGTTTTTGACCTACCCAGAAACGCATAGAAGAAATGAGACCCATTTTTATCCTTGTGTGGACCCCTACAATAAGCAACAAAGCCTTTTCAAAAAGCGCGCCACGACCTGAAAGACCTCCCTTGTTAGATTTAAACCATGTTTTTTTTTGCAGACGGCAATTTCGATATGAATGGGACGTGAAATTCTCGATAAAGGATCAGGTGGAGTGAAGCCGTATTATCAGTGCCATGCAATCAACAAGTACTACTACGAAGGATTGTCGGGTTCAACAACACGACTGCTATTATTCGCAAGCACAGTCAATAGTGCTAGAGCAGTATGTGCTTGCGAAGTAAAAAGCTGGAGGTGCATTTCTTGTTCTCTAAGACAAAGTTCTCAAAGATGGGCTCACGATATCTGAAATGGAAACCAACGCAACCACACTTGCGGTAACAATTGCGGTCAACGGCGCTGTAAGAACTCATGTTCAAATATCCATCATCACTACCGTTCTAAACTTTCAAGTATCTCTGAGAATCCTTCCGAATTGGATTTTATCAAAGAATCCAATTCGGAAGGACAGCGGAGTTTTGGCGAAGAATCGGGGAGACGAGATCAGAGAGAAATGAGTGGAATCGTTGACGTCCCTATCCGATTGTGAGACGTAAACACAAAGGTGTCTCCGTCGAGTGCGCAACTAAGGAAACTGGACGCACCTAGCATAGACAAGAGCCTGTGGAGGATAGAAACTGATTTTTTTGAGAGCGCTGCTTGATTAGTGTCGTGAGGACTGCAGAATTGTAAGACATTGCAGAAGACACTTAGGGAGATTAGACCCAGAGTTGTTCATCAACATCAGTCAAGGAAACAACGAAAGAATTACCGAATTCAAAACGGTATGACATCTCACATGAGTTCGGTTTCTGAAGGGAATTTTTTATAAGATCATTACGCAAGGAAAAATGCGATCACACAAATAATGAAACTCGTTGAGTGTGTGGGTATCCTCAATTCCAAATACAACGAACATAACCCACCGTGCTGTTTTGGACGAGGACGGGCTTTAGGACCAAGCATCGCGTGCGTGGCAAAGTGCCAATAAGGGTGCTTGTACTCGAGCGCTGGCGGTGATGCCCCACCCTCCGTCATTGCTTTATTGTGTTCGCTTCACGTAGGGTTATTGTTTTAGCTCCATATTATGGTATTGATATTAGTGTAGTTTCTTTATAGCGCTGCGCTCGATTCGGTGTTTCACTCCAATATTACGGAGACCATCATGTTTAGACTTTGTTTCATCAAATTAAAGAAAATTTTGTAATTAAAGAACTAATTCAGTAAATTCAGTGCAGACAGACGGTCTCAGACACTTCTGATGGGCTGCGCATGGTATTATGCATATTTCCTTTTATATGAAAAAAAGGTTATAAGCTATTTGATGAAAACTGAAAAATTTCTTCTGTCCATTATACATGAAATAGTTTTATTTTATGCGTATATTTCTATCATGTTTCTTTTTTGCACATCATGGCATCGTTGTTGTTGCAATGGCTATATTAACCCTTTAATAAAGCACATATAACAGAATCTAACCATCATGACGGCTCTCTCATTGAAGAGGTAAAGGACCAGAGCAAACGCCATAAATATGATTTCTACTACTTTTGGACATGGCGCCAATTGTAGAAATGGTATGCGGCCGCTGTCTACAACTGCAAAAAACTACTGATGGAATGACTGTAAAGGGGCATCAATGTTATCGCTCGGTAGTCACTCGGAACATAGCTCGGAAACCATCTCAAACATCGCCATACTACTACAATCTAGGGTGTTATTTGACAAATTCAAACGGGATATTATGTTATCAACGCATCCGTACCAACTGTAATTACAGTGTAGTCTAAGGATTTCATCAACGA